CTTGGCTATTTGTTACGCTTTACATTAACTGTAAAATTCGACATTAAAAATGTGGAATCGACAGATAATCTAAAGTTTGAAAAAAAGTTGTTAAAAAGTGCTTCGTCAGTGCTGCTCGCTTATGTTTTGCTTTTAAAGCAATAATTCAGGGTATAATTTGCAGTTGGAGGCATGCCACCATTGCGCATACGTGATTTTGTTCTGCAACGGTCATGGCTGGATCTCGGTAACGAAAAATACATCTGCAGTCATTCGATATGCCACGAGGTACTACTGATTTTGTGCAAGTTTAAATTAGATCATCAGTTCCTGTTTCATAACCTCTTGAAACGAATTTCGATTTACACCTGTGCCATGACTTAGAGAACTTCAAAGGTATCTGTAGCGAAGTGGATATTTCGTTTACTGTACAAGCTGCGAGGTTGTAACTTTTCAAGAATATTCTCTATTCACGTACGATCTAAAAAAACTTGGTAGCTAAATTCTTTAAACAAGGACACGAGATATCGCAACCTCAAAAGCGAATGCTTCTTGAGGATTCTGTAATTCCTCATTTCCAACATCTCATGTAGAAAACCGCTCACCGGAAAAAGGACCGGTCTTCATGCAAAACTGATAATCATGTGTCCGGAATTCACACAGGCCACGGTACAACACCACTATCCTAACCAAACCTTTCGCTTTACATGCAAGGGAACGCTAACAAATATCCACGTTTTGAACTCTAACGCAGGAACTATTGATGCTGTTAACTGCTGCAAAAATGCATGAACGTACCGACACGTCTGGTTGCATTCTTTTACTGATCCATGGTACTAAACTGCACAATTCCAGAAATATCCACCAGCAAAAGGATACATCCGTGGTACTGTATACTTGGCAGCATATTATATACTGGACTTAGGAAGTAAAGGCTGTCAGGTCACATACATCAATCACTCAAATCCAAAAGGTAATACTGAGTGCACAATTTTACTAAATAGTTGCTGCCAGTCGAAGGTACCGATGGACTTGATTTGTGCTTATATAATATTATCGGAAGTTTTCGTTTCAAGGGACCAGTTCACTATAAGGATGAAACAATTGTATTTCTGGTAGCACAGCTCGCTCTCGTAAATTCAGAACGCAAATTTTTGCCCAGGTAAAGTACCGACGTGGCTGATCAATCGATTAACTAAAGTAATCGGGCCAAAATTCATCAAGCGGGTACATAAGGCCTGCTTAAATTATGAAAATTGGAAACAGGACAACCGGCCAAACTGGAAGCCGTGGATCTATCCAGAGCAACAGGTCAGTGCAACTAAAAATGTCTATCTGTTCTGTTCGAAGAAATTTCTCGGAAGTCATCTGTCTGGTACTCTATGATGCCTAATCGGCTGCTGATGGCCAATTAGCTGCTATAAAATTGATCGTTCTGAGTCGGATTTCGAAGATGTGTGCTTAGAGCAGCTTAAGGCTGAAGCCATTTTGATAAACTATGTTTAAATACTGAACTGCCCGGACGATCGATGTGGACCTCCCACGTAAATGATGTTACTGAGA